AAGGCACCTATCTATGAGTATAGTGGACTATTATTAGGAGTCATTTATTGAGACTTAAAAAAAAACAGTAGTATTTTGTTTTACCCCAGGTCTCTGGGCCATCAAGTCTCTGGCCCCTGGTCACTTAATCAGTGTCAGGCATGTGCTTCATGTCATGGGGTGGGCCTTAAGTCAAATCAGACATTGGTTGGATATTCCCACAAGTTCTGTACCACCAGCATACTTACAGGAAGGACTGATCATAGGTCAAAAGTTTTGTGGCTGGGTTGGCATTCATTTTTGATAGCCTGCAGAGTAGCTTCCTGCATGAAATATACCAGAATGCAAGGGTGAAATTTCCATGTAGGTATCAGTCTGACTTCTCCATGTTCATTGAACTGTGTGGGTATTCACCTCCACAATGGGCACTGTTATCAGATTGTGAAACCCATTGTCTTAGCAATAGCCTAGGTTGTGTGGGGATTTCCATTGGACCCCGTTGGCCAAAAGCTAAATTGAAATCAACCCAGTCCCAGTACTGGAAGCCCCATTTGGTGACAGGAGTTGGCCAGTTGAGACTTTAGGAAGTTTGCACTGCACTAGGCTTCCACACCATCCCTCAAATACCTGTCAATTCCATCCAACCCTCCCCAACTTATCTCCCTCAACCCTATCTCCCATCATCCTCTCCACTTGACCCCCTCCCATTCCTGTCCCTACCAACCCTAGTCCATCCATAAAATACATTCCCTTTTCCCCTTACAGGGAGATCCATACGTCCCTCTCTAGAGCCCTCCTCCACATTCAACCCCTTTGGGTCTATAGACTGCAGCTTGGCTATCACCTATGCAATGGCCAATGTCCATATAGATGCAAACACACACATATAATATTTATCTTTTTGGGTCTGGTTTACCTCACTTAGGATGACCTTCTCCAGTTCCATCCTTTTGTCTGCAAACTTCACAGTGTCATTCTCTTCAACACCCAAGTAACACTCCACTGTGCAAATGGACCACATTTCTCCTATCTACTGTTCTGTTGAGGAACATCTAGTCTGCCTCCCGTCTCCGGCCATAACAAACAGAGCAGCAGTAAGCATTGTTCAGCAGATGTCCCTGTGATAGGATGCAGATTTTCTTGGGTATATATCAAAGGGTACATATTGAGCGGTACAGCTTGATCTTGAGGAAGATCAATTCCCAACATTCTGAGAAACTGCCATATTGATTTCCACAGTAGCTGTACAAGTTTGCACTCCCACTGGCAATGGATGAGTGTTTCCCCAATTCTACATACTCACAAGTATATACTGATACATGTTATTGATCTTAGCCATTTCTGACAGGTGTAAGATGGAATCTCAAAGTAGTGTTTTTCCCTGATAGCTAACATTTCTCCACATGTTTCTCAGCTATTTGAATTTCCTCTACTGAGAATTCACCATTTAGATTTGTACTCCATCTTTTAATTGAATTATATGTTGTTGTTTTTTTTGATATATAGTCTCAGAAAAGGATAATTGTCTCAATATGTATCACTTACCAAAATTAAATCAAGATAAGATAAACAATTTCAACAGACCTAGTGAAATAGAGGCAGTCATTAGAAGTATCCCAACCAGAAAAAAGTCATGGCCAGATGGTTTTAGTGCACAATTCTACCAGACTTTCAAAGCAGAGTTAATGCCAATACTCCTCTTCAAATTATTCCACAAAATAAGAACAGAAGGAACATTGCTCAATTTTTTTCATTAGGCCATAGTCACCCTGATACTCAAACTACATAAAGACCCCCAAAAGAAAGAGAATTACAGACCAATTTCCATAATGAACATAAATGCAAAAATACTCAATAAAATACTTGCAAACCTAATCTAAGAAAATATTAAAAATATCATCAACCATGATGATGTAGACTTCATCCCAGAGGTGTAAGGTTTCAGTATATGAAAATCAATAGACACAGTTCACCATATAAACAATCTGAAAGAAAAAAATCACATGATCATCTCATTAGATGTAGAAAGGCCTTTGTCAAAATCCAGTACCCCTTCATGATAAAAGTCTTGGAGAAATTAGGGATACAAGGGATATACCTAAATAAAATAAAAGCAGTTTACAGCAAGCCTATAGCCAACACCAAATTAAATATAGAGAAACTCAAAGCATTTCCACTAAAATCAGGAACAAGATAAGCTTGTCCACTATCTCCATACCTATTCAATATAGTGCATGAAGTCTTAGCCAGAGCAATTAAGACAACTGAAGGTGATCAAGGGGATACAAATTGGAAAGAAGTAAAAGTATATCTATTTGCAGATGATATGATTGTATACATAAGTGACCCTAAAAATTCTACCAGGGAACTCTTATAGCTGATAAACACTTTCAGCAAAGTAGCTGGATATGAAATTAACTCACAAAAATCAGTAGCCCTCCTATATACAAATGATAAATGGACTGATAAAGAGATCTGGGAAATAGCTCCTTTAACAATAGCATCAAATAATATAAAGTATCTGTCTTAACTCTTAACCAAGCAAGAGAAACATTTGTATGATAAAAAACAAACAAACTTTAAGTCATTGAAGAAAGAAATCAAAGAAGATATCAGAAGATGGAAAGATATACCATGCTCATGTATTGGTAGGATTACTATAGTAAAAATGGCCATCCTTTCAGAAGCCATCTACAGATTCAATGCAATCCTCATCAAAATTCCAACACAATTCTTTAAAGATCTTGAAATGACAATTTTCAGCTTCATATGGAAACACACACACACAAAACTCCAACAGGATAGCTTAAACAATCCTGAAAAAATAAAAGCACTGTGGGAGGTCTCACCACCTCCAATTTCAAGTACTGCAAAACTAAAAACTGCATGGTTTTGGTACAAAACCAGATATGAATAAATGGAGTCAAACTGAAGACCCAGACATCAACACACCTATGAACTCCTGATTTTTGTTAAAGCAGCCAGAAATACACACTAGGGGAAAAAAGACAACTTCTTCAATAAATGGTTCTGGTCAAACTGGATGTTTGCATGTAGAAGAATGCAAGGAGATCTATACTTATCACGCTGCACAAAACTCCAAAAGGATCAAAGACCTCAATATAAAACTAGATACATTGAATGCTAGAAGAGAAAGTGGAGAATAGTCTTGAACTCATTGGCCAAGAGAAGAGTTCTTAAACTCAACATTGATAGTGCAGGGACTATTATCAACAATTAATAAATGGGACTTCATGAAACTGAAAAGCTTCT